TATATTTGGGTGCTCCAATTTTTGAAGAGTATAAATTGATAATGGTGATATCCTCTTCTTGGATTGTTCCCTGTATTAATATGTAGTATCCTTCTTTGTCTTTTTGCATTGATTTTAATGAAAAATTTATTGTGTCAGATATAAGGTTGGCAATTCCTGCCTTCTTGCTGGGAGCATTTTCATGGTAGATCTTCCTCCATCCCTACACTTGGAGTTTGTTTTTATCTTTGGCTGTAAGGTGGGTCTCTTGAAGACAAAAAAAAATGGATGGAACTTGTTTTCTGATTCAATCTGCAGTTCTTTTTCTTTCAATTGGTGAATTGAGTCCATTAATATTTATTGTTATTATAGAGAGGTGCATTGTGTTTCTGTCATTTTCCTGCTTTCCTAAGTTTTTCTTCTTTCCTTTCCTCTTGTGTTTACTAAGTTGGTCTCCTAGTGATATGTCTGATGTGGATCCCTGTTCTTGTTTTCTTCAGATTATATTCCCTCTTAATATTTTTTGTAGTGCTGGCTTATTGTTTATGAATTCATTTAGTTTTTACTATTGAAAATTTTAGTTTCTCCATGGAATATGAGTGCTAGCTTCTCTGTATATACCAGTCTGCGATTATTGGTTCTCAGAGCTTGGATGATACTTTTCCAGACTTTCCTTGCATTCAGTGTGGAGAGATCTGCAGTGATTCTGATTTTTCCCCATTGTAGTATAGCTCCTTCTTTGCTTTTGCCACATGTAAGATAGCTTCTTTGTTATTCAAATCTAGTGTTTTTACTGTGATGTGGCTAAAAGTGTTCCTCCTGGGATCCTGTTTGCTATGTGGTATGTATGCTTCTGTTATATAGATGAGATTATCTCTTTTTAGATTGGGGAAATTTTTGGCAGTAATCTTACTGAATAAATGTTGCATGCCTCTATTCTGTTATTCCTCACCTTCAACCACCCCAATTATATAAAGGTTAAATTTCTTGGTATTGTCTGTCTGCTCTTGGACTTCCCTTTGGTATACTTTAAGTGTTTTTTCCATATCTGTGACTTTTTTTTTCCAATTGTTGCATTTTATCTTCAGTACCTGATATTCTATTTTCCATTTCATTCATGGTTTGTATGAAGGAAATTGGACTATTATGATTTCTATGTCAGTTCTCAAAGTGTCAATTTCATCTGTTAATGAGCTGTGTACTGCATCCATTCTCCAGTGCATCTCTTTTTTGATATCCTGGATCTCTTTTGATAATTCGTTTCTTTGTTCTTTACATTTCTGATCCATTTCTCACTTTAATTCTTGAGTCATTGCCTCTATCAGCGCTTGGATGTAGTGTTTGTCTTCCATTTCTTTTCACTTTCACTGGAGTTCTTCCCTGGGTGGCTGCTGGCTTTTGGGGATGGTTTTCTGTCTTGGCTGTTGATGAATCTTGTAATTCTCGATGTGAGTTTCACATGAGGATTCAAGGATTATTGGAGGTGAATCCTGAATTCTGACTGTTTTGGTCAATAGGTGGCTGCCTTTGCTTGCTTCTGGGTTGGCTCCTGGGTCAGTTGTTGAAGCCTGCTCTCAGCCCTGGGCTGGCTGAGGGGGACTTTGCCCATCTCGGTTCTGTTGGGGGGAGGGGTTGACCTCCAGCTGATAGTCTGACCCATGTAGGGCTCACTCTTATTAGATTCTGGTGGGCACACACACACTACCCTTTGCTGAGGCATGTGCTCAGTTCCTGACTTCAGTCAGGGACAGGTGACTTAGACAGTTTGGGCTCCTGGGGACACAGAGGTGGGGCTCATTCAGCTACCTACTGGAGCCCACAGGCAGTTGCCGACTTCAGCCAGGGACTGTCAGTGTAGGCTGCTTGGACTCCTGTCCAGGGGTACCTAGGTTAGAGTCCTTCGGCCACAGGCTGTAGTAGCCAGCTTCAGCCAGGACCAGTAACCTAGGTTGCTTGGGTTCCCTCCCAGGGGTACTCTGGGCCAAATGTGGTGGCCTGGGTGTACTCCACCAGCTGCTGGAGCCTGGGCACAGTTCCCGATTTCAGCCAGGTATCCTGGGTTTAATGTGTTCAAGCTCCCGCCAGGGGCACACAGGTGGGTCTCCTTTTGCTACTGGCTGCTGGAGCCCTCATGCAGTTCCAGACTTCAGACAGGGACTCGGACCTGAGCTGCTGGTTCTCCTGCCCGGACACACAGGTGGGGGTTCCTTCTGCTGCTGGCTGTTGGAGCTTATGAAAGCAGTTCCCGACTTCAGCCAAGGACCAGCAATGTTTGATCTCTCTCCTAGGGGTGCTCTTGGTCAAGCATGGTGGGCAGGGTGTACTCCACTGGTTGCTGGGGTGCTTGCACAATTCCAGTCTTCAGTGGGACCAGTAGCCCAGGCAGGAAGGGGAGGGGTTCAGGTCAAGCTCTGGGGGTTACTGCCAGCACTGGTCTCCTGTGTGGGGGGGAGACAGGGGGACAGGAGGATAGGGGTAGGGGGTGGGGAGGGGAGGGTGTCCCCCGTTGAGTACTCACTTACCCTGGAACTGGTAAGGGGCTTTCTAGCAGTGCTGTGGCAAATCACTATATCTCTGTGTTATAGGTTGCTGGTGGCTACTGGGTTCTGTTGCGATGATTGTGGGCTGGGCAGGGTGGTAGTGGGAGCTCTAGGTCTGAGTTTCACAGTATCTTGTCTCCAGTCTCTGTCTCTGTTTACACTGTCTGGGTTCCACACTATGGGAGTCTTCTGCACTGGTATGCACTGCTGTAGCTCTGAGGTCCCAGGCAGCCGCACGCGGCTTGGGGCAGAGCTTGGGGCAGAGCCACTCTGCCAGAGTGGAGGGGCGAGGGAAGGGTCTTCATGCTTTTCCGTCTTTGTGTAGGTTCTGAGATTTCCTTTTCTTTTTTCACTTCCTGTATTTCTCTGGATGTTCGCCTTTTGTCAATTTCTTGGGGAAACTCAGCATTGGAACTTGAACTCTCTGGTTGGAGAGAACTGTGGTGTTTCCCTACTGTTCTGTCGCTATCTTGGGTCCCTCCTACCGATTTGAAAACAGTTTTTTTTTGTTTTTGTTTTGCTGGAATTCAGCCATACTCTTTCATGTATACAATGTCTCTGGTTGTTTACAGTCTTCAATAGCAGAGCTGAGTAATGGCAGAGATGGGTAGCTCCAAAGCCAAAAATATTTACAACTCGATCCTTAAGAAAAGCATGTTAGCTGGGCATTGGTGGCTCACACCTGTAATCATAGCTACTCAGGAGGCTGAGATCTGTTCAAAGCCAGCCCACAGGAAAGTCCCAGGAGACTCTTATCTCCAAGTAATCACCAGAAAACCGGAAGTGGTGCTGTGGCTGAAATGGTAGAGTGCTCTAGCCTTGAGCTGAAGAGCTGAGGGACAGCGCCCAGGCCCAGAGTTCAAGCCACACAACCAACAAAAAAGAAAAGAAAAGAAAAGTAGGTTAGCTGGGTGTTGGTGGCTCATGCCTGTAATCTAGCTACTCAGGAGGCTGAGATCTGAGGCTCATGGTTCAAAGCCAGCATGGGCACAAAAGTCTGTGAGACTCTTATCTCCAATAAACTGCTCAGAAAACCGAAAGTGGCACTGTGGCTCAAGTGGTAGGGTGCTAGCCTTGAGCTGAAGAGCTGAGGGACAGCGCCCAGGCCCAGAGTTCAAGACCCATGAACGATGGAAAAAAAAAATGTTGATTCAGGATCTAGAATCCTATTCCCCATTTTTTGATTTGTGTTTTGGGTTCTTTATTCAGTGGGGTTATAACATTTTCAGACACATATAATGTACTTTGGTCATGTTCAACCCCAATTAACCTCTCTTTTCTCCCTCCTCTCCACAACTTCATATGGCATATAGGATTGATTGTTCAAAGAGCCCAAAGCAATTACTTATAAAAAAAAATCTCCTAATTGATTTTTTTAAAGTCTGGGAATGAAGCTGAGGACCTTGTGCATTCAAGGCAAGGGTGCTCTCACTGAACTGCATCCTCAGACACAATCTCTTATTTTATATTGGCCCAATTAGACACATTTATATGTTATGTTAACCTTCTAGCTAGAATTTCACATACTACATAACATGCTTTTTAAAATAGAAAATATCTGTGAGCTTATCAGTGCTCTTTGTGGGTCGCACTGAAATGTTTTGCCTATCAAACTATAAATGAAATTGAAAGTAAATAATACATATGAAAAATAATAACAAACCAAGGTCTTGTCTTTTCCCACAATTTATTTTTCAGGAAGGAGAAAAAAAAGAATGTCATGTCTAACATATAACATATATAAAACATATAATTTTAGTTATAAATGGAAGTAAAAATCTGCACCAACCAAGTTGCATGATTGTAAATGTATGAAACAGAGTATGTGGACATGCATATACAACTGTCAGCTCTCTGCGGGCAGGGCCATGTCCCTATTGCCAGGGACTAGCATACAAAAGGCACAAAAGAAATGTCCATGCGGATGAATGAAAGAACAGTCTAGCTATACCAAAATATAGCATGCACACCTATCAGGTGACTTTTTTTCTTTTTGCCTTTTCATTTTTGTCTTTTCTCCTTTAAAACATTTATGTATGCTGTTCCTTAGCTTTTTTGTTCAAGGCTGGCACTCTACCACTGGAACCACAGCACCACTTCTGGTTTTCTGGTGGTTAACTGGAGATAAGAGTCTCATGGAGCTGGGCACTGGTGGCTCACGCCTATAATCCTAGCTACTCAGGAGGCTGAGATCTGAGGATCACAGTTCAAACCCAGCCCAGACAGGAAAGTCTGTGAGACTCTTATCTCCAATAAACCACTAGAAAACCAGAAGTGGCACTGTGGCTCAAGCGGTAGTGGGGTCACCTTGAGCTGAAGAGCTGAGGGACAGCGCCCAAGACCAGAGTTCAAGCCCCACAACCAAAAAAAAAAAAAGCCTCATGGAATTTCCTATCCAGACTGGCTTCAACCCTGATCCTCAGGTTTCAGCCTCCTAAGTAGCTAGAATAACAAGCATGACCAGCGTCCAGCAGATGAGCATTTTTTTTTAAAAAGGCAAGTGTGCATGTCATATGAGAGGCTTGAACTTGCTATTGATTCATCAGAAGCTTATGCATATTCAGTGAAATGGAATTCAATAAGCATGGAGCTAAATCTAACCAGAACTACAATGATGTTTTTACATAAAAAGAGACAGAAAATGTCCAGCCTCTTTTTCCACCTAATCTGGGTCACAGTCTAATGAGTCTTCTTACTCTTGGGACACAGTCTGTCTACCTTAAACAATGTGAATTATAACACATAATGAAAGGCAGTAGTGCTAAGTCATTTGATCATTTCTCTAAAATGTCATTTAGCTAACCTCCCTAGATCATGATACATATTACAGAATAATCTTTATGAAACAAGAATTAATGGCCATCCACTTTTGCACAGCTCACATTAATGGCACCGAAGAGAGGGCTGTTGGTCAGAAATAAAGCAGAAGACTTAAGGAATTCCCAGTTTGTCCTGCAGCAATGGATTCTTCTCCTGGTTTCCTGAGAAGATCGCAGCCGTGGTATGGTGAAGGCAAGCATGCAGACCTTTATTTTTGATCACATACCCAGAACTATTCTCTATTGGTATGTATTTCTTGTGTTTTCTGAAAATAACAGTTGGACAGTGATTTCAAATTAAAGCTGATATTACCTTCTTTCTAATGAAAGAATTTTTTTTGGGGGGGTCCAATCGTGGGGCCTGAACTCTGGGCCTGGGCACTGTCCCTCAGCTCTTCAGCTCAAGGCTAGCACTCTACCACTTGAGCCACAGCGCCACTTCCAGCTATTTTCTTTTTGCTTATGTGGTGCTGAGGAATTGAACCCAGGGCCTCATGTGTGCAAGGCAAGCGCTCTACCACTGAGCCACCTTCCCAGCCCATGAAAGAATATTTTTAATAAGTTGTACTTTCTGTCTTCTTTTTCATGGTAGACACAAAAGAGCTAACTCTACAGAACCTAATCTATGGCTGTAACACGCTGGTGTCTTGTGATGATATAGTTAATCTTCTATTTGTATAAGAAATGTGCACACTCACTATAATTTGAGTTTTTTTATTTGTTTCTTGGGTGCCTGAGCTCTCCCTTGGCTTTTTCCACTGAAGGCAGGCTAGTGTTCTACCACTTAAGCCATACCTCCAACTTGTGGCATTTCACTGGTTAATTGGAAATGAGTCTTACTAACTTTTCTGCCTCCTTGCTTCACCATGATCCTCAGATTTCTGTCTCCTTAGTAATCAGAGTTACAGGCATGAGCTGCCAGTGCTCAGTTGCTTAGAGATTATGTGTTAAACATTATGTAGATACAGTAAACTACTGGCATCTGGTAGCACTTTTAGGATTAAAAAAAAGCAATATTAACAAGTCACAGTTTAGTATTCATAGTTCAAAGGAAGATTATTTCCTTATAGCCAAAATGTTTAAAAGGTCCGGGTGCTGGTGGCTCACACCTGTAACCCTAGCTACTCAGGAGGCTGAGATATGAGGATTGTGGTTCAAAGCCAGCCCACGCAGGAAAGTCTATGAGACGCTTATCTCCAAGTAACCACCAGAAAAATGGAAGTGGTGCTGTGGCTAAAAGTGGCAGAGCACTAGCCTTGAGCTTAAGAGCTGAGGGACACTGCCCAGGCCCAGAGTTTAAGCCCCACGACCAACCAAAAAAAGTGTATAAGCATGTAAATGTAAATAAGCATATTTGTACAGAAATATGCTATTTAGTACTGACAGAAATATGATACTGCTGGTAAGACACAATGTATTAGGAGCCAAAACTTACTTGTACATCAACATAACAATCACAGGAACAATTATGACCAAGCAGCCGAGGGAGATCAGGGTACCATTTGCAATTCTTAAAGGGAAAGCTGTGTCTGCAAACAGAAACAAAGTATTAGTTACATTTTCCCTTTATGGGGCATCTGTTTGTAATGCCATTAAATAAATGAGGAAGGGAGATGTGTTCTCCCCACTTCCCCCCATCCTGCCCCAGCCTTTTGGTAATCTTTTTTTTTTTAAATTAAATACATTAATACATAGTCTTTGGGTCAATTTATCTTCCATTTAGAGAATGAGTTAGTGTATCTGGAACACTGCGTAAGGGCTGAGGGAAAGATGTCATGGCCTGGAGATATCTGCTTTGGTGTCTGTTGAACCAGCAGCACGAAGATACTGAGGGCTCCCCTCCCATGATGCACTGTGCACTTCTGGCCTGGCACTACCTGCTAGCTTGCTGTGTTAAGAATTTTGGGAGTTCTTTGAACCTGCCATTGTCTTCCACTTCCACATCCTCTGTGGCAATGCCCTTGTACTGACTATTTCAAGTCTCCTCATTTACTAGCCTCCATGTGTTCTGGATGACACCTCTTCACTCCTCCTGTTCCCAAGCTGCTGACCTCTCTCCTTGGGCCTGGATCCTTCCCTTCCTCCCTCCTTCCCTCCCTCCCTCTCTCCCTCCTTCCTTCCTTCCTTCCCTCCCTCTTTCCTTCCTTCCTTCCCTCCCTCCTTCCTTCCTTCCTTCTTTCATTTCCTTCCTTTTTTTGTGTGCCAGTACTGACTAGGGCATAAGCCTTGCTCTCCCATGGCTTTTTTGATCAAGGCTGGTGCTCTACCCCTTGAGCCACACATCCACTTCCAGCTTTTGGTTGGTTAATTGGAGATAAGTTTCATGGATTTTTTTTTTTGGCCTGGGCTGGCTTTGAACTGTGATCCTGAGATCTCAGCCTCCTGAGTAGCTGCTAGGATTACAGATATGAGCCATTGGTACCTAGCTTGAAAATTTCTAAAAATAAAATTTCTTGGAATTCCTTGTTTAATCCATTAATATTTTGCCTCTCTAAGCATCAGAATGAAGAGTAGAGTCTCTTTTGAGTCTGTAGGGAAAGCAAGATGGTTTGTTATCCTTTCTGTGTAATGCTTGGTAGATCTATCTTCCTCCTCTTGGGTTGAGGCGTCCACTGGGATTTTCATGTCTGTTGGCCTCGTGTCCTTGCCCAGGTGGACTCATGTGACACCCTAGTCTCAGCCTCTCCTTTGTTACCATGTCATTGGAGAACATTATTAGTTTTTTGGTGGGTTTTGCCTTGTCCTCTTAGAGTATAAATCTCTTGAAGCATACGATGATCATATTTCACTACTACTGGTCCATGATCGTAGCTGACTGGTTTTGAAGTAACAGGCTTGAGTAAAGCCCCAGTCACTTTCTCTCATTTTTGCCTTTCACAGCTGGCTTTTAATGCCAATTCTCAAATCCCTATTAACAAGGGTTCAATGAGGGGTTTGGAGATGGAGGTTGGTTGTAGAGTGTTTGCTTGACACTCACAGGGCCCTAAGTTTGATTCCTTATAAGACAAAAGATCTCAATGAATTTTGCACTGGAATATAATTGAACATGGATGGTGAAGCCTTTCAATGGCTTTGATCTTGGGACACACTTTATCTATGACATCAAAGTGCTCAAAGGACCGTGAAATGAATCTTACCTTTGCCAGGAATGGAAATCAGCGTGCTCATGAGGGCCAGACTTGTGTCATCTTGCAGAGTGAAGTTCACACAATACGTGCCAGACCCATTGAAGGCTCTCTTCATGGTCAACAGGTGCATCTCGTGCACATCTGCTGGGCTGCAGACCACATTCTGGGTGGTCTGGCAGGTGGGGTCAGCGATGATGGTGCAGACCTCCGTGGGGGTCCTGCGAGATGGGAGAAGTGGGTAAGGACACACAGTGTGGGGGCAGGACGGGAATGGGGGGAAGTGTAATGTTACTTTCAACATTTCCATAAAACCTAACTTCATCTCACTCATTCAAATCATGTAATGCAGAATCGTCACATGTGATTTACTCTTTTTTTTTTTTATGATATTAGGGCTTAAACTCAGGGCCTGTGTTCTCAGTTGGTTTTTCTTACTCTCATAGCTAGAGCTCAACTACTTGAATCAAGTTTCCAGCCTGGCATTTTGCTGCTACTTTGAAGATGGAGCCTCATGAACTTTTCTGTCAGAACTGGCTTCAAACCTGGATCATCTGATTTTTAGTCTCTTGAATAACTAGCATTACAGGTGTGAACCACTGGGGCCTCGCTTTGAGTTAACACTAAACTAAGCCTAGGGATGAGCTGCCATTTTCTCTTTGTGCCCAGGAAGGTGAGGCCCAGAGGATGGAGGAGCAGGAGATTGTGTCTCCTGGGGTGAGGGGCTGGCAGAGACTGAGCGAAGCCCCAGCCATTCCTGCTATCCTCCAATACCAAGAAGACTGGAAAACACAGATGGCTTAGGTGTCAGGCAAAAATATTATCAGGAGGCAGAGCTGACTCTGCCGGACCCTATAGAGGTGCGTGGACAGCTGCAACACGGCTGTTTGTATGGGACTTGCTATGTGCCAGGTACTGAGTGAAGGTCATGACATGATCTTGCTTGTTCCTTGGGATGACCCCTTAAGGAAAGTAACATTACCCCCTGTAAGAGGTGACAAAGCAGCTCAGAGAGGGGACATATTTAGGCCAAGATCATGCAAGCAGCTCATTCTGCTCCTTCATGAAAGCTGGAGAGTTTCTTAGTTATTTCTTTTTAACAAATAAAACCATATTTTAGATCATTCCATTCTCTTGATTACTTTATGTATTTAAGCACACAGTAAGTTTATTTATTTATTTATTTTTGGTCTGGTCATGGGGCCTGAACTCTGGGCCTGGGCACTGTTCCTCAGCTCTTCAGCTCAAGGCTAGCGCTCTACCACTTGAGCCACAGCAACACTTCCGGCTTTTTTTTTTCTGCTTATGTGGTGCTGAGGAATCGAACCCAGGGCCTCATGCATGCAAGGCAAGTGCTCTACCACTGAGCCATGTTCCCTGCCTTATTTTTTTTTGAGAAATGTAGCTGGCCTGACTCATGATCATCTTACCTCAGCCCACTTAGGTACACCTGGGATGACAGGTGTACACCACTATGCTTGACAATAGATGTTTTTATTACTTAAGTTACATACATGTAAATTAGATGATTTTAAGGACACATCTAACTAATAATTTATATTTAGCTTATTGTATATAGCTTGACCAAAGCATAAGAAATCAAATTATATTAGGAAAAGCTTAATTAGTTATAGGAAAGGGATTAACATGAGACAATTGCCCATTCGGTTTCAGCACATCGGGTTTCAGCCAGACCTCTGGCCATGAGCTACGCTCTGCCGGGTGCCAGTGGTCTGCAACCAAATTTTGTGATCACTGTGCTTCATTGACTTCATCTTGAAATGGACTCAGGATGGTGAAGATGATTCAGTATGAGAAGAGATGTTAGGTTTTGAAGACATAGTAAACAGTAATGTAGTCAATTGAATTGGATCACCCTTTAAAGGTTGAGTGTCTTGCTCAATTCTAACAAAGAATGTGCTTGATAGCACCTTCTAAGGACCTCTATAAATCCTTCCTTGTGTGGTTTCTAATAAATAGGAATTTAAATCAGCTTAGAAGGGATAACTGGTGGTCAAGGCCTTAGTTCAGACCAGGGGTCATCCTCTCTTGATGAGTGCCTTTGGCGGAGACCATGTACTTACGTCCCTTTGAAGGTCAGCGTGAAGTCCATCAGGGAGTTGTCAGGATGTAAGCCAGGCATCGGCACATCTGTTATCTGGATGATGTTAACCTCTAGGATTCCCTCTAACAGAATGAAAAACAACAGCACACAGAGTAAACCGCACCATGCTCCTGTCGACTGAGTGTGTCCATTCAGTTTCATACTTTGAAATCCTAATCAAGGTTATGGTATTAGATGATGGGGTGACCACAGAGAACCACACACGGCTCCTCTTCTCCTTTTGCCATGTACAGATGCAGCGAGAGATGATGGCCATCCATGAACCAGGGCCCAGGCCCTCACCAGACAATGACTTTGCTAGCACCTGATCTTGACAAAGCACTTAGAACTGTGGAAAATCTCATGGAAATAAATCTCGACTGGTTAGAAGCCACCCAGTCTATGGTAGTCTACTATAGAAACCTGAATAGATTAAGCCACATTCCTTAATAAATCAGAAGAAGTGAACTGGAGACAGTCATCTTGCCAAGCAGAAACCCTCCAAAATCTGGGAATTCGTGCATATCTGTGTAACATGGATCAGTCCCAGCTTGTTTCTAGAGCCGGGTGTGTATTAGAAAGTAGTGTTCCCTCTGGGAAGATGTTTTAGGGACAGGTGAGCTGGGCCAGATGTAGCCCTGGCTCAGAACATGGTTAACTCCTCTCAGACAGAGGTAGCTAGCTTGGAGTGCAGCTCTAACTTCCTTTCTCTGTCCCCACAAGCAGGGTACACAGTACCCAGAATGCACCGCCATGTGAAATGGCCTGTTCATCCTGCCTTTCATACACAAAAAGAGTGTCTTTGTGAAAAGTAGCAGAGAGTGGAAGACAATGGAAATTGTGAGAATTCTATACTGGTCTTTCTCCCCACTATTCATTCAGATTTCTGGACACATGGGTGGCTTCATGCCTAGGGCAGGCTTGTAAACACATGGGCTCTGCAGAGGGCATTTCCCTCCAGGATGCCTAGGGATTGACTGTTAGTGAGCCAGACTCTACAACTCTACAATTGTGCTAGTGCACAATGGTGCCATTTTGGAGCCTTCTAGTCTAGCCAAGTGACTGTGACAACCATGCATGTTGGCATCCATCCCCACTGGTCTTCAGCCTTACCTACAATTGTGATGGTGGCCTTAAAGTAACCATATCTGTAAATCTGGCAATTTTCATCAGAAACCTGACTCAGTTCCAGGAGGTTGTCACCAGCTGTCCCTGGAATGTTTAGAAAATAACGAATTAAAAATAGTTGTCCACAATGCAACCCAATAGAAACATAGCCACGCACAGGTAGTCCTAGCTACTCTGGCTGAGATTTGAGGATCAAAGTTTGAGGCTAATCCAGACAGAAAAGCCAATTAAACTCATCTCCAATTAGCCAACAAAAAAGCTGGAGGTAGAGCAGTGGCTCAAATGGTAGAGTGCCATTGTGTCCCTGAGCACAAAAGCTCAGGGACAGCACTGAGGCCCAGAGCTGAAGCCCAAAGTCTGGCACGCACACATGCACATGTGTGTGTATTCAAGTGCACACACACACACACACACACATACACACACACAGATCTCTTATTTCTAATACCTTGTCTTTTATTTATAGCAAATAGTAAAAAGCAGCTACAAGGCCATTATAATAAAACATTTCTTTTGGACTGAATTATAGTGCCCTCTTGAGGCCAATGTGTGCATGTCAGCAAGGAGTGTCAAGATGTGGGAATGGTCAGAGTGGCCATAGTATGAGGCAGGGTGAAGAATTAGATACTTCCTAAAGCAGACTTTTAATTAAGAACTTCTTGAGGGTCTTCACAGACAATTAGTAATGGGTGATAATTAATATGCCTTATATTAAAAACACTTTTAATGGCTTGCTTGTCCAGAAGTGCTCTTAAGTGACATTCATTTTGGGCTACTTGGAAGTTGCTTTCAGCTACAGATGTATTTCCTCGGGACATTGGATGGGAGTTGGTGAGGTGTGTGGGGAACTGTAGGAGGAAAGTGAGAGGGTCTGATTCTTTATAAGGGGTGAGTGTGTGCTTTCCTGGCTATGGAAAATGAACTAAACAGAAACATGACAGGCTAGATGAAGGAGAGCATTGTATACTTAGCAAGGGCTAGGTGCCAGTGGCTCTTGTCTGTACTCCTAGCTATTCAGGAGTCTGAGATCTTTGGATCCTAGTTCCAAGCCAACCCAGGCAGACAGCTTTGTGAGACTATCTCCAGTTAAACAGTAAAAAGCTGGAAGCAACACTGTGGTCAAGTGGTAAAGCACCAGCCATGAGTGCAAAAGTTAAGGGAGAGCCTTGGGCCCTGAGTTCAAGCCCTAGTACCCATATATAATGCAAAAACAAATCCGTGCACTGGTGGCTCATGCCTATAATCCTAGCTACTCAAAGAGATGAGATCTAAGGATCACAGTTCAAAGCCAACCCATACAGAAAAGTCTGTGAGACTCATATCTCCAATTCATCACCAGAAAAGAAAGAAAAAACCAGAAGTGGAGCTATGGCTCAAATGATTGAACACTATTCTTGATTAAAAATCTAAGGGAAAATGCCCAAACCCTGAGTTCAAGACCTGCTTCATATGTATTACCAAATGCTACCACAGGGTAGTTTAAAATATATTCTCCTTATAAAAAATATTGATAAGGAGGTTAAAAAACCCACAAGTACAAAGTGGAACCATTATAAAGACTACATAATTCTTTCAAATAGACAAATATTTCTGGATCTGTTTTTGTGGTGCTGGGGAAAGAACATAGACCTGTGAATGCTAGGAAAACACTCTACTAGTTAACTGTGCCCTCAGCTTCTTAAGCAGAGATTTAGTAATATAACCTATGCTTGGGGAAGTAGTTCAGGGGTAGAATGCTTAGCACACACACACACACACACACACACACACACACACACACACGTGTGTATATCTCACATGGATATATTTTAGCCATTAAGAAATCTACCTCAAAGATCACTCAGAAAATATCTACCTAAAGAAGGGGTGGGTGCAGGTGGAAGACAAGGCCCGGGCACTGCAGCTTGCACAGTTAGATTAAGATTGAAGGTTCCGTTGAGCACATATGTGTGGTTCGAAGTATGGTTGGTGGAAATAAACAGACCAGTGTTATCTCCGAAATTCCACTTGTAGTCAATGGCAGACTTATTGAGAAAGTGACTGGGATCATGAATGAAGACATCAAACATAATTGGAAGGTCTCGGAGGAAGGTTTCATCAGAGAAATTTCGATCATTCTTCTGGAACATGGTCACAAGCACAGGAATCTCACCTAAAAGAGACATCATAAAGAAAGATAACATGTACAACAGAACTGGGACTTGAACTCAGACCATTGTGCTCTTGTATAGCTTTGTCCACTCAAAGCTGGATTTTTTTGCCCACCTAGCTTCAAACTGTGATCCTTAGATCTCAGCCTCCTCAGGAGCTAAGATTATAGGGATGAGTCACTAAAGCCTGGAGATTGGTTGATTTTTAAGTAAAGGATTACAAAAATGTGTTTATATTAAAAATTAAAATTAGGGCCAGGTGCAGTGGTTCACACATGTAATCCTAGCTGTTCAGGAGGCTGAGATTCAAAACCACCAAGGGCAGGAAAGTTCATGAGACTCTTATCTCCAATTAATCACCACAAAGCCATATGTGGAGCTATGTCTCAAATGATAAAGCACTAGCCTTGAGCAAAAAGCTCAGGGACAGCATGTAGGCCCTGAGTTCAAGCCATAGGACTGGCACTAAATACATACATACATACATACACACATACATAAGAGCATTCATTCCTTCTTACATGAAAATTTTTCTAGAGTTTTCAAAATCTGGAAAATAGGTAGGCACAACATGATTAAATGTATAAGTTCGGGTAGGGTCTCAGCAGTTGGTGCCTACCTTAATGCACTAATGTCAAGAAACCTCTAGGGACCTCACCACAGTTAACCCAGAGTTCATGCCACGCACCTGTGACCACGTAGACATCTTTAACCTGAGCGATGGGAATGTATGCCCGACCATGTCTTCTGTAGATGGTCACTTCCATGACTTGAGGACCAAGAGTCAGGTTGGTCGTGTTAATAGAAACTCTCACAGAACACCGGCCCAGTTTCTGGAAATACTGACCTTTAAGACCATGGACATTTTTAGTTATTGTCAATATCATTTGGTCATCATAGGAAGTTGTTTCTTAAAGGGAAGGCTTTGTGAAAGGATTTGAACCTTGTTCCTCTGGATCTCACTTTCTTGAGTGCCTACTGCTACTTAGAAATCACTCAGAGGAGGGGAAGAGGCTGCTAATGTACTATGGTTCCACACAAAGAGAAAGTGCTCAGAAATCCTGTGTGAAACCTTACAAAACAAACCCACAGTAATATAGATGCAATGACATCTAGTTAGTTAAAGTGATAAGAGATATTTAGTGGGTAATAAAATAGGTGCTTACTTTACAATAAATATATAAATGGTCCCTTAAAACACATAGTTTGTCTATAGGAAATACATTTGATATAATAATATGTCCAAGGGAGTTATTTTCTGAAGCCAAGCACCAATGGCTCATATCTGTAATACTAGCTACTCAGGAAGCTAAAATCTGAGGACCAAGATTCAAAATCAGCCTGGGCAGGAAAGTCTGTGAGACTCTTTTCACCAATAAACTACTTTTTGAACTCTAACTCAAAAGTGGTAGAGCACTTGCTTTGAGCAAAAGCAGCTCACAGACAATGCCTAGGCCTGAGTTAAATCTCTAGGAACACCTCCCCCGCCCCCACTCACTCACAAGTTATTTTGGAAAGATTCTATGTTAGTTTTGTAACAGTACGACTACACCTACATTATTATATTTAAAAGGGGATCAGTAGTCTTCACTTTCTAATAGTATTTCTATATAAAAACACAGCTAAGTACTGGATCCTCCTAGCTACTTGGAAAGCTGAGATCTGAGAATTGCAGTTCAAAACTAGTCCAGGCAGGAATGTATATGAGACTCTTATATCTGATTAGCCACTAAAAGCCAGACACAGAGCTGTCGCTCAAATGGTAGAGCTTCAGCCTTGAGCAAAAGAGCTAAAGGACAATGACAAGGCCCTCTGTTCAAGCCCCAGTAGCTGCATAAAAACAAAATAAAACAAGGAGTAGGGATCACAGACACAAAGGGATAAAGTGGTTCTTTAAACACATTTCTCAAGCATCTTTGAGTCAACTCCTTGTCTTTCTTCAATTTCCCTGAAATTGCTACTAGCAATTGCTACTACCTGGCAGGGGACTGGTGTGTTTTGGCCTATTTGGGCATGGTAAGATGAGTGCATGTGAGATGGCGATGTTTAAAGACTATCACATGGCCAAATGAGTGAGAAAAACCCACAATCTCCCCTTGCAAGTGGATTGGAGGGCAACTCCCTGGAGGCAGTGGGACAGGAGGGTCTCTGACAAGGGGCCAGTAATGCACAAGAAAACGTTAGTGCCCGAAATGAGAGATGAGACCGCATGCAGCTGAGGAAACTGGAAATTCAAGGAAGTCTTATTAGAAAAACAGAGTTTTTCTAGGTGGAAGGTAGGCTTTACATAAAGACATCTGCTCTGGATGTGTTTAATGGAATGTTAACTAGGCTTTTCAAAAATATGCTTGAAATCAGGCCCTGGTGATTCACACCTATAACCTTATCTATACAGGAGGCTGAGATCTGAGGATTCCAGTTCAAAGCCAACCTGGGCAGAAAAAAAAATCTGTGAGACTCTTATTTCCAATTTAGCACCAAAAAGCCACAAGAAGGGCTGTGGCGTAAATGGTAGAACATGAACCTGGAGTGAAAAGGCTAAGGACGAGCACTTAAGCCCTGGGTTCAAGTCCCAGTACTGACACCGAAAAGGAAGGAAGGAAAATTTCATTTTTACTTTTTTCTTTTTCCAAATTTCCTGCAGCACATGTTTCTTTATTAAACTTGAGAAAATATAGCATAAATTACCATTTAGGTACCACTGTGTGTGTGTGTGTATATATATATATATATATTCTTTTTTTGTCAGTCCTAGGCTTGAATTCTAGGCCTGGGTCCCTAAGCTTCTTTTGCTCAAGGCTATCGCTATATCACTTGAGACACAGCTCTACTTCTGGCTTTTTCTGGTGGTTAACTGGAGATGAGTCTTACAGACTTTCCTGCCTGGGCTGGTTTTGAACCGCGATCCCCAGATCTCAGCCTCCTGAGTAGCTAGGATTACAGGTGTGAGCCACCAGCACCCAGCATCATTTTTTTTTTTTAGTATTACTATTTTAGATAGTTGAATCTACTTTTCTTCTCATTTTAATTCCTTGCTGTCCTGGGAATTCACAAGGTTAGCCAGGATTTTATTTTTCTTTCTCACTGTCCACCCAAGTAAAGAAAATGAACAGCCTAACTGCAAAACTCTTGGTGCTCTAATGACAATAAGGAAGCAGAAGGTTCAGTTTTAAAAGGTGAAGGCAATTGGTAAAAGTCCAACCATGTGTGTGAAAGATGTAGACGAAATTCCCTTTCTTCCCTCGGTGGGGGTGAGGAAAGGGCCTCCCGTCAGGAAACATGTGCTGGCTTCTGTCTGAGTCATTTCCCCAGTCGCTGTCCTTGGACCAATTGTACACGTATGGGTCAGGAGACAAACCAGACTCTAAATAGAAAAGGAAACAGGTCAGGAATGGTACCGGGGTTCCAAGTGCCCAATGCATGTCACTCAAACACTGCTTTGTAGTTTTCCATAACTAACTGAAAAACTTTTTTTTGATGATTGAACTCTGGCCTGGGCGCTGTCCCTCAGCTCTTCAGCTCAAGGCTAGTGCTCTACCATGGAGCCACAGCGCCACTTCCGGCTTTTTCTGCTTATGTGGTGCTGAGGAATCCAACCCAGGGCCTCATGCATGTGAGGTAAGCACTCTACCACTGAGCCACATTCCCAGCCCAATTGAAAAACTTTTAAACGACAGGATTAACAACTTAATGTTTGGAATTCATCCAATAGAACACTTGGAACTTGTGCACTTTCCTGCATAAACATGATATTTCAAGACAAGTTTATATAGTAAGATCTCAGCCTGGAGAATTCACTCAATTGTATATTAATCTTCCCAAATTTCAAGCCTATTCAAAGATGGGAGAATGTTTGATGTTTTCATTTGAAACACTCTAACAGAAACTTCTTTTATTGTTTCATTTGATATGACTTTTTTGCTTCTATGCCAGTCCTGGAGTTTGAACTCAGGACCTGGGTGCAGCCCCTGAGCTTTTATGCTCAAGGCTAGTGCTCTACCACATGAGCCACAGCTCCACTTCCGACTTTTTGGCAGTTAATTGGAGATAAGAGTCTCTCAGACTTTCCTGCCTGAGCTAGCTTCAAACCTTGATCTCAGATCTCAGCCTCCTGAGTAGCTAAGATAACAAGCATGAGACACCATGCCTGGCAACATCATGACTCTTTATTCCTAAGAATGTTAGCTAGAAATGACAAAGAATAAGGGGATCTCTCACTGAACTACATCACAACAACCACTCCTCCACAGTCTAGACCATGCCTGCATATGACATTTAGCTCTTCCACACTGATTCAACTGATTCAAGGAAAACAACAACAACAAACCTCCAACTCCATACTGGACACTGGTGGCTCATATCTGTAATCCTAGCTACTCAAAAGGGTGAAATTTGAGGATTGTGGTTTGAAACAAGCCCAGGCAGACAAATCCAAGAGATTCTATCTCCAATTTAGCAGCCAGTGATGAATTTCAATAATCATGCTGCTTTCTCACACCTATAATCCTAGATACTCAGGTTGCTGAGATCTGAGGATAGTGGTTTGAAGCAAGCCCAGGCAGAAAAGTCTGAGAAACTCCAATTATGTGTGTGCATGTGCATGCATGTGTACACAAACACACACTCACACACACATACACAAACAGAAGTGGAACTGTGCCTCAAGTGGTAGAGTACTAGTTTTGAGCAACAGAGCTCAGAGACAGCACCTGGTCCCTGAGTTCAAACCCCAGTGTTGACATACAAAGGCAAAACCTCAAAAACACAAAGAAATGCTGGTTAGCAAAAACTAAACTCATCAGAGTGGCTCAGTGGTAGAGTGCTAGCCTTGAGCTGAAGAACTAAGGGACAGTGCTCAGGCCCAGAGCAAAAAATCTGTTAAACTGACTATTTTTGGAATGGCTAAAAATGTTCCAAGTAATAAAATGAAAATCTAGCTGATAAGGGTACTAGGTAGGCTTGGATGTGTTAACACTCAGGTTGATGAAGGGGCCGCGTTAAGACCACATGCTCACCCTGTATCATCTAACTTGAAGAGGATGCACTATCATCTTGCTTTCAGGTGCATTAAGGTTTATGAGCTGGACCCCAGTAGTTTAGGAGAACTGCTTACCATTTCTGCAGTTTTTCTCATACACTATGTCACCATTGGCATCTTCCTTTTGGCATCTTGGGAACACCAGATTCACCACAAATGTGATATTTGAGCCTAGCAGTGCTGGGGAGTCACTGGTCAGGACTGCCCGCACACGGCCTCCTAGGATAACAAAGCAGGGATGGAGCTCACTGAGCCAGCATCAATTTTTCCTTTCCCCCAGAGATAAACATTGAAAGGTAAATCAAAATATAAGAATTGAAGAAGCCACAGATTTCTTTAGAATGCATTAAATTCACTTTATTGATGCTAACATTCTAAAAGATGAATAACAACAATAAAGTGAGACTAAAAGATTCTCTAGCTATAAAGAGAATAATTAGGAAAATTAAAATAGCAGGACACTGGTGACTAAAGCATGTAATCCTAGCTACTCAGGAGGCTGAGATCTGAGGATTGAAGTTTGAGGCTAGGCAAGGCAGAAAAGTCCATTAGACTCTTATCTCCAATTACCCACAAAAAGCTGGAAGTGGAGATGTAGTTCAAGTGGTTCAAGCTTTGAATTAAACAACTAAAGGAGACCATGAGGTTCTGAGTTCAAGCCCCATTATGGTGCAAAAATAAAAATAACAAAGCAATCCACGTAACACCCTTCTCTTCTGACACATTTTTCCTCTCATCTCTCGTATATCATAAGCCATCTAGCTTTCTGTCCACATTTTAGGCTTATTGTATTAAGCTAAAGGAAAATAAAAGTAAAAAATGAAATAAAATCTGCCCATTGGATTGAAGAGAAATGATAAAAATATGTTTTTTAAAAAAAATTTCAGGGCTGGGCAGTTGGCTCAGTGGTAGAGCGCTTGCCCTGAGTTCAATTCCTCAGCACCACATAAGCAAAAAGAAAAAAAAAAGCCAGAAGTGGTGCTGTAAGTGGTAGAGTGCTAGCCTTGAGCTGAAGAGCTGAGGGACAGCGTCCAGGCCCAGAGTACAGACCCCACGACCGGACCCCCCAAAAAAAATTTCAAAGCCAATGGCTGAAGGTGTCTTTTATCTGAATGGATCCATGATTCACTTTCTGATAAACCACCCTGTATCAAAGTCACAGGTGATGCCCATTTCCATGTTAGTTAGTTTGAGACTAAACGTCTACTTGAAATGTTCTAAGAATAGGCATTATTGTGTGTGTGTGTGTGTGTGTGTGTGTGTGTGTGTGTGTGTGTGTGGCTTAGACAGGGAAAAATATTGGCGTAAGAGAAAGACTTCCAAAGCCAGGAATCCCTAGCTTGGCAACCAGGGCACCATCTGCTGTTCATGTGGGCGCATGAGCCATGAGTCTCACAGGCTCACCAAGCAACCAGGCAGATTGACGTGGGCAGCTCCAGTGTTCTGGATGGTTTTTTTCCTTTGACGTACCTTTCCATGAGTTTTCCCACCTTGCATCTCCCGGTTTCCACACTGGGTACAGCTTTTCATTCCAGTCATTTTCATCAGAAGACCAGCCATGTAACTGGTTGTGCTCCCTTGCAACACCAGGATGTCTTCCACTGCCCAGCACATCATGAAATCCTGTGTCAGCATTTGAAAAACCGATTACTTCTCTCGCCCATTTCTCATTTAGTTCTTATGTAGCAGTGGTGATAGAAGCTATCCATTTCAGACTGTTAGAAAGCAAGTATACAATATATCCAGAAAGTGGGGAGTGCTTTTTTGAAAGAGCCTACTGCAAATACTTTGAATATAATATTTTTATCAAATCTCTGTATGAATGCGAACTGGATATATTAAAACATTTAAGTTATTATAAAGGTGATGTATAGAGGAGTTACAGTCACGTTAGTCAGGTAATGAGTACATTTCTTTTTGGACAATATCACCCTTTCCCTTGCTGTCTCCCAATTTTTCCCTCCCATCCCTACACACAAGTTACATAGTTCCTTTTCAACATAGTGTGTAGTGAGTACCACTGCTGTATTGGCTGAATGCTTTTTTCTGTAAGTCAGTTGGCTTCTCTGAATATTTGGGTTCTATTTGAAATCATGAGGTAAACTGATGTTAATGTTTTTCAGACCTGTTTTTAAATCTTTCCTCAGTGTGAACTAATCTCTGTCTGAAGCAAGGCCACATGAAGCACAGGAATGCTTCCATGATTCAGAGACAGGCAGTGGGAGTGGAGGGCCCACTGGGAAACAGCCATTCTACAGCCCAGAATATGGTCTGTCTTGGTGAATTTTCAAATACATTTGTTGAATAGAGTATTTTACGCTTTAAAAAATGTCATTTGGGATGAGGTTGTAGCTCATTGGTAGAACATTTGCTTAACATATGTGGGGGCTTGAATTTGATTCCTAGAATAACACACACACACACACACACACACACACACACACACACATACACATTCTGTTTGCTTGAATAAAAAAATTCTGTCCACTCTATTTCTGTTACTGAGAGTAGAATTTTGAAGTCCTTATAGTTGTATATTTGCCAATTGCATAAGTTTTCTTCCAATTTTTACTTCATGTATTGTTAGAAATGTATGACTCTAGAACTGTTAAAAAAATCTTGTTGATGTATTGGCCCTTTTATTATTAACCATGGTAACATTCCTTCTTATAAAGAATACTTTGATGTTAATGCTAGGTGTTTAACTAATATGTCATGTTTACTTTAATCAGTTTTACTTTATAGCATATATATATATATATATATATATATATATATATATATATATATATGAACTGAGTTTGAGCTCAGGGTCTCATGTTTTGGCCCAGGTCAGCCAGGACCACAATTCTCCTATTTATGATTGTTGCATAGCTAGAATGGCAGCCACCTGCACTACACCCAGCTATTGGTTGAGATGGGTATCACTAACTTTGTGTGCCACCAGCGCCCGGCTAAGTTCATAATTCTTTAAAAGCTCTTTATAATCTTGAATTGATGGCCACCCAGTGACTAGTGGCAATGCGGTTTCTACTTTCTTTGATTATAGCAGATTGGTTAGTTCCCTTGTTCAGCAGTCTCTTGAGCAATGGATTTACATGCCACTACTTTTTTTTTTTGATGCAGAATAACACTATAGTTCTAATGTTCATTTTTCTAATGACTAATAGTGTAGAACATTTGTTTCCATTTTCAAAGCCAAATGCCCTGTGATTCTGTGAGAGTGTTCCTATTTAGAAATAGATATTAAGGACAGGAAATTTGTGTTTATGAATAAATGTTTGTAACAGGATATTTACTTTGAATGGAGTCACATGAAAAGAACTAAGATTCTTTCATTTGAACCAGTTCTAGGGACTAATGGGATTCATCCAGGGTCAACCTTAATTTGGTAGAAATGAAGAGCCATGACTAGTTCCAAGAATTAATCCTTTCCACTGTTCCAGAGTCTACTTCATCAGGTCCCGAGAGTGTTTCCAGAAATATAATCAACACTCAGTCTTCCCTCTGCTGATCTTAAATTTCAGACATCAAGGACAAGCTCTCAAACTTAAAAATAGAGTAACAATGAGCCAGGCATTGATGGCTCGTGCCTGTAATCCTAGCTACTCAGCAGGCTGAGATATGAAGATCACAGTTCAAAGCCAGAAGAAGTAGGAATGTACATGAGACTCATCGCCAATTAACCACCCAAAAGCCAGAAATGGAGCCTTGCTCAGGGACAGCATTCAGGGACAGAGCCTAGGTCCTGAGTTCAAGCCCCAGGAATTGCAAACAAAACAAAACAAAACAACAAAAGGAAAAAGAGTAACAAGAAATGAACACATTGGATATTGGAACAAAATAAAACACAGAAATAGACCTACACAACCATACCTCACTGATTTTTGAGAAAAATGTGGAAATAATGTAATAAGACTGGAGACATGGTTCAAACATTAGAATGCCAGTTATGAGCAAAAAAACCCAAAATGGAACAAAATAAGAACACAGGCCCTGAGTTCAAGATCTAGGCAACAAAAAGCAGGGGGATTAAATAAAAGAGACAATGCAATGAAGAAAAGACAAACTTTTAAGTAAACAGTGCTGTAAAAAATTAAAGCACAGCTGAAATCTTCTGGATTTAGAGACAGATAAGACTGCTTAGACTTGACAAAAAGAACATCATCCATAAAGAGATAAACTGACAAATGGGACCTTATCAAAATAAACATTTTGCTCTATGAAACTACTAGGAGGGGGCTGGGAAGGTGGCTCAGTGGTAGAGCGCTTGCCTCGCATGCATGAGGCCCTGGGTTCAATTCCTCAGCACCACATAAACAAAAAGAAAAAAGCCGGAAGTGG